AGGGGAGGGGAGGGAAGGGGAGGGGGAAGGACTTGAAAGAATGTCTTTCCTTAGGGGCAGAGCTATGAGCACTGTAAGTTCAGAGGAGCGAAGTACCTAAGTATTGATGACTAACACTGAATAGGGATCAGCTATGTTCCAAGAGTTTTGTGCCTCACTCTCTAACTAAATCCTCACAACTCTAAGAAAGAAGTGCTCTTTTTTGTAGTTGAGGAAATAGAGGCCTGGGGAAGTTAAGTAACTTCCTCAAATCATCCTGTTAATAGTAGATTCTAAATCTAACTCAAGAAAATTCAGCTCCAGATCATACTAAACTACCTTTTAGATAAGAAAGAAAAGCTGAGCACTAAAAGTATCATTATTCCTTGATGCCATTATCCTCCTTATAAGAGACTATCTTGGAAAACCCTAAGCAAAAATACTGCTAGAAGATGATTCAAGAAAACCTCTTTATAGGTAGCAGTAGTAAAGGGAATGATAAAAAAAAAAAAATTGTGAGAGGTTACGAAAGAAAAGAGAGTATAAGTAAGGGAAGGCTATATTCTAAAAGGAAAGTGGAATGTGTAAATTTTTCAGTAGATGACCATCCTATTGAATTCACTGAAACTTAACTTTGCTTGACTGACTCTCATATGGAACATGTGCAATTGCTCATGCTCCTTGGCCAGATCTGGTTCAAGGCTGCATTTTGATTAAGGAAGAACAACTGATTGAAAGGGTCCTTCTATTCTGAACTTCTATAGCAGCCATGGAAAGAAGCTGGCTTTCCGGAGTCTTCACACAGCCCCTTTGTAGTGTCAACTACAAAGTCTACCTAGGGTTGTAAGTCATTCAAATATGTGCCTGAACATGACTATTCCTTCCCAGACTGTCTCCATTTTTAAACTCTTAAGTATAGGGCACCAATGACCCATGTTGCTAGTGCTTCAAAGATGCTACCTAGATAGTGTAAGGTCAGTAAAAGCTCCAAATCCCGAGGGCTTTTCAACATGTGATACCTGCCAAAGACAGACTTCTTGCATAGCAGGCAAACTCCAGAGTGAAAATTCAACTTGCATCCTGAAACACTAATGATCTTCAAGAGCAAGCTTGAATGTTACATATTTCAAGCTAAGTAGAGAATTCCATAATTCTTAGGAAAGCCTGAAATATGGCTAAAATATCAGTGAACTATTTTTTTCACTTTCCATGTTTATGAAGCAACATTCAGTAGATAGCTCCATAATTGGATTCACTGAGGCCAGAAAGTAAACAATATATAAGATGAACTGTTTAGAGTAAAATATAAAGACATTCACTACAAAAGTTACTAAAATACCCTAGTCAGGATTTAAAAAATGAAACTCCAGATTTGGCTACACAATAAGGTATCATTTACCTGGCAACATTTTGATGAGGAAAGTTAATTAAGTATGAGTTAAATAAGAATGGTAGGCAGAAAGTATAAACAAAAAGAATTATTTAATTATTCTAAAATATTTCTAGAAAAATCAAGCAGTTGGGTAGATTACAAATCCTATTTAGATTTAAAAATACCACCTGAATAGAATCTTGCCAAAACCACAACATTGATCCATAACAAAACTGACCAGGCTTCTGAAATAACACCTGGCTCCAAACAATGTGCTCCCCAGGACTTTCTGGCATTTGCCTCCCTTCGTTGTTATAAAATAAAACTTTCAGCAACTGAAAAACAAAGAAAAGGCAAGATGGTACTCACTTTTCAATTTCAATGCCAAGAGGATTTGCAGGACGGAGGGACAAAGGAGGAATTCCCTTATTCCTGTCTGTACGCATATCATAATAATTCATTTCATCAACCCACACAGCAGACTGATCCAAAATGCCTACAAAAATGAGGAGCACAACCTTAATAAGTGGAAGTCTCAACCAAGCACTTTTACTTCTAACCATATTGTTTAAAGCCCCAATACAAAATAGACAATTACCAAAAAAAGATAAAGGGACTACAGCTAAGACTTTAATTGCTAGTGACTTCATTAAAAATACTAAGAATGAGCCAAATAACAGTGGCTCATACCTGTAATCTTAGCTATCTGACAGATTGGGAAGATTTGGGCCCCAGGCCAATCTGGGCAAAATTGTTCACAAGACTCTATCTCAACTAAAAAGACTTACTGTGGTGGTTCATAATGTCATACCAAATATAGCTGAAAGTTTAGTAAAGAGGAATGTTGTCTAGGCTGGGACAAGTAAAGAGGGAGACTATTCTCAAAAATAAAGGGAGTACACTTGGGAGGGTGAGAATGGAAGGATTGCAGTTCCAGTCTAGCCCAAGCAGAAAAATCCTTAAGATTCCATCTTCATGTGGTAGCATGTAACTGTAATATTAGCAAGGCACAAGAACCCCTAAAACAGTGCACTCATTCAGAAAAAAATTTCTATGCTAAAAATACCTGTGAAAATTAAGAGCTGGAGGTATGCCAGCCTAGCAAACCAAGGCTCTGTGTTCAAAATCCTAAAATGGTTTTAAAAAAAAGGGATTTATATATGCATATATACATATATATTAACAACATGTAAAATAACAATAATACCTCTTGGCTTATGATTTTATCATACATTACTCAATAGAATAATTTACCAATCAGAGGCAAATTAAAACTTTGAGAAAATGGTCTACAATACATACATATGTATTTTTTTTACACATAAAGAATACTACAGTTCTTTATGCAACATCATCAAATGTTAACTGTTCATATTGGTAATAAAATTCAGAAAGCTGGCATAGGGGTATAATGATCAACATCTGTTTAATCAAAAGAATATTCTGAAATCATATAAACTTTTAGAAAATAACTGGAAAATACCTAGATGAAAAACGTTCAAGTTAAGCATTAATTCTATTTTTTAAAAAATCCTTTTGCTTATGTCGGCTAAAAAGACAAAACATTAGACACAAGCAGGGCCTAGAGCTTCATTTTATTTTTGCTCAAGTAGCACTCTACCAGCATCCACTTCTGGCTTTTTCGGTTTATGTGGTACTGAAAAATTGAACCCAGGCCTTCATGCATGCTAAGCAAGCACTCTACCCCTAAGCCACATTCCCAGCCCATACAATATTATACTTAATATTTTGAATTTTTTCTCCTGAGTTCCACAAACTACCTAAGATCACTTCACTAGCTAGTTATATGAGCCTAGGCAAGAGAATGGGGAACTGTTCGGTAGACAGGAATAAAAAATGGCAGATATAACATGTGGCCAATAACAAGTCCCACCATGATGTTTCTTGTTCCCACAGTGCACCGGGCTCCTGCTATGCTTCTTGATCCAGTGCTGCTTCTTCCTGTTATGCCCTAGGAACCTGCTCAACCAACAAAAAGAGCCAGGACAGCACATACATAAGCTATCAAGTAATCAACACAAAGCCCACAGAAGGAAATATGGGACAATCCCCCATATTATAAAAATTGCCCTCTGAGAAAACTCCATTGGACTCCTCTTTAGTCCCCCACTCCGGATTGGAGGGCTTCTGCTACTTTGTTTCATGGCTTTCCTTTCACTTTCAGCTAAACTTTCCATTGAGTTTTCCGTTTCTAGCTTCATTTCTACACTGCTCTAGAGAGCAAGAACCTATCACTCAGATATCAAGCCTATGTTTAGAATTTAGAATCTGGGCCAGGTGCCAGTGGCTAACGCCTGTAGTCTTAACTACACAGGAGGCTGAGATCTGAGGATCATGGTTCAAAGCCAACCCAGGCAGGCAAAGTCCATGAGACTCTTATCACTAATTAACCACCAAAAAACTGGAAGTGGCCTTGTGGCTCAAGTGGTAAAGTGCTTGCCTTAAGCTGAAGAATTCAAGGACAGCGCCCAGGCCCAGCATTGAAGCCCCACAACAACAACAACAAAAAACAGAATTTAGAATCTGCAGACCAAGTTATTAATCACTGCTAATTAAAGAGGTAAGTGTATAAAAATCACAATGGGTATGTGCTAAGGGGTACAAAAAAAGTTTGGACAGCTAGAAGCAGCTCTAAGCCAGGCTATATTTTATCTAGACCTGAAAAGATACAGAAAAATGATGGAAGAAGGAATATTGTTTAGATAATGCTACTGCTCATCTGGCTAAATCAAAAGGCTATTTCACCTTGAATTCTGATTAATGGTTTAAGTGCTAAGTCATTATATTCAAAATCAAATAATCAAAACTGGTTTATCATGTCAAAAGAAAAAAGAAAACAGTAATGAAGAAAACAAATTTAAGCCAGGCACCAGTTGCTCATGCTTGTAATTTCAGCTACTCAGTAGGCTGGGATCTGAGTATCACAGTTCAAAGCTAGCTCAGGAAGGAAAGGTTGTAAGATTCTTTATCTCCAATTAATCAACAAGCCAGACATGGTGTTGTAGTTCAAATGGTAGCCAGCCTTGAGCAATGAAGCTAAGGGACAGCACATAGGATCCTGAGTCCAAGACTCAGTACCAACACATAACAAAAAACAGATCTATTTAATAGCCTGCCTACAAGGATAGTTCTTTATGATTATCCTCCTTAGGCCTGATTGACTATTGGCTCAGCAAACTGCCTTATCAAAACTAAAGCAAATTCTAACCAACATCCCAGTATTTTCTAAACCTAAGTTAATGAAACATGAGAGTCACTGAGTTTTATAGAAATCTAGCATGTTTAAAATATAAAAAATAAACCAATAAAGTCATAAAGAGTTTTACCTATCTTTTCAGGCTTGAGTAACTTGAAAGAAACAGTTGAAGTTCCTTTGCCACCAGATTTAGTTGTGACAATAATATCTCCTTTGTCATTTTTGGCTTGTCCCACTCGACATACTATTTTACTTGCAGACATCCACTCTGCTGTTAGGAGGCAATTATGTCCACAAATAGTCAAACCTGAAAGCAAAAGTATGCATTCAACAAGGTTCAACATAACAACAAGCCCTTAACCATGGCTACTACATGGAAGAAAATTCTTAAACATTTGCTTGATAGCTATTTTTATTAGAGAATATACCCAATGATACTAGTAAATGTACCTTTAGCTTTGCTGTTTTCTAATCTTTTTTCTGTGATGTTTTTCTGTGATGTTTTTAGATATAGTAAAATTAGAATACAATAGAAAATGCCTAGGCATTCCAGATTAATTAGGCTAGGAGAACTGTTGGAAGAAAAACATACTGCTACTGTCAGAACTTAATTTAAGTTACTGATACAGGATTTGTAAATGTATTCATAGATTTATAGATCATTCCCTAAAACATATTCATCATCTTCCTAAAAAGAATCAGTACATGCTTTTTCTAGTGTTCAAGTAATTATTTATAAACAGTGTTATAAAATGAACTAAGGTAACTATTTTATTTATTGTAAGTTTTGTGTAGAGTGTGGTAAATTTAACACAAGGTTCTCAACATTACTGGATTATCATCCATTTCCTTTAAGGGTAGCTAAAATTGTGATGTTTTCCTACCCAAGTGTTGCTATACTACTTTTCCACTGATGAGCTCTTCCAGTAAACCAGGACTCCCAAAAGACCAGCTCAGGTTCCTTAAGTCTTTCTCCCTTAGCATGTGAGTTAAAATTTAGCAATAAGGAAATGAGAGACAGTAAGGTATCACCCCAGGTGGAACACAAATGACAACACACTGATACCATCCCGTCCTCTAATTTAATTCTTTTGCAAATTTTCTACTTTCACAAAACAGAGGTCAATATAATAAATATTTATGGAAAAATAAATTAGAATGTATGTGGTCTACCACTTTACACTTTCTTTTCTCATTATTTAACTTTCCACATTACTCAGCAAATTAGGCAACTTAAGTTTCTTTTTTTTTTCTTGTTCAGATAACAGAAACAGCTCAATTGATGACAAATTTAGTTTGACAATGGAGGGAGAGATTCAAGTCATCTTTTGTTAGCACAAAAAGCACTATTTAGTAACAAGATTATAATAACCATTAAGGGATTTTTAAGACATATTTAAGTAGGCACTTGACTCACATCTATAATACTAGCTACTCAGTTTAAATCTGAGTTACTCAGAATCTCAATTCAAAGCCAACTCGAGTAGAAAGGTCTGAGATTCCATCTCCAATTAACCTGAAAAATGCTTAGCTAGAGGTGTGGCTCAAGTGGTAAAATCCCAGTCCAAAGCAAGGAAGTTGACCAAGAATGCAAACCTTAGTACCTCAGTATGTATTTATATGGTTTGAAATAATAAATTCCTGATCCTAGAAGAAATTTGTTTTCCTAATTAACAGTATTAAAAGTTCCTTTAGTATTAAGTTTTATTATATTTTTAATGCATTCATAATTCAAAATTATTTTAATATTTCTTATTTGATATCATTTCTTATAATCATCCATTTGTTATTAAAAATGAAACTGGCAGTATTAGGGCTTAATATTCAGAGCCTTGCAATTACTATGTATAACCACTATGTACAACTATGTACAACCACTTGAACCATGCCCTTAGCACTTTTTGCTTTAGTTTTTGTTGCTGTTGTTGTTGTTTTAATAGAACATGTTTATACACAGACCAGCCTGGGCCAGAATCATGCTTCCTATGTAGCTGGAATGACAGACACACACATTATCATACTCAAATTTTCATTGAGATAAGAGTGTCACTAACTTGCTAATTCTGAATGTTATCTCTATATCCTCATTTATATTTCACACACAAATAACTGTAAGGACTATAAATTTATACTTAGAACTTGCTCTTACCCAACTATGCCTGGCACCTATTTGTAATTTCAAAATCAAAGGCCAATCTTTAGCAATCTAAGATCAAAATAGAGGAAATGGATGCAAATCTGGATGGTGGCAATCTTTCTGAAAAATGGGTTTGAATAACCGTATTGAAAAATTTGATAAAATAATAATTTTCAGAGAAGTATCAGACAACATATACAATAAAGCTTTCTTGTCACTTTGACTACTTCAAAATCATGTATCTTGCACCTCAACATACCAACATAAAACTCTGTCTCAGAGGCAGAGTGCTCATCTTACCTATGAGGTCAGTGGGACCAACACCCAGATTCTCCCCTCTTATTGTCACCTTCGTCCATGGGATCCCTTCATTTGGAGAGATGCCTGTCACAAGTGGAGGCTGTCGGGACCGAGACATTGTGCTTTATGCAGGAAATCAGTGATCTAATTATAGAAGCAATCTGTTAGAAGAAAATAAAAAGGATTAGTGCCAACTGGGAAGAGCACTAAATGAAAATATATGAATGCCAGATAGACAGTACCAACATAGAAAAATCTCAGGATTTTTGTTTTTTGCTGTCAGCCCATCAGCCAACATATACTGAACACATTTTACTAAGGACAGTAGTTAGTACTGTTGAAAAATAAATCAAAATAAGAAAAAAAAAACAAGTCCCTCATGAGTGGTCAGAGTTTTCCCATGGCCCACATGCCTTTATCACCTGATGGAAAAGCTACTTGCAAACAAACTGCTCAACACCAACTGAGTTAAATCACATCAGGAAAGACTCCAGGATAATCATGAAAAAGATGGAAGACAGACAAGTACAATCCAGTGCAAGTCTGTATGCTAAAGTCTTAAAGTCTGCTACTTCAGTATATGGCTATATTTGGAAACAGAAGTTTTAAACAGGTAATAAAGATAAAATTAGGTCACTAGTGTGGGTGTTCTTGTGACACCAAAGTGACTGGTGTTCTTGTAAAAGGAGAAGAGTCAACACACAAATGGATACCATGTGAAGACACAGGAAGAAACTGGCCATCTGCAAGGCAAAGAAACCCTATCACACCTTGATATCAGACATAAATCTCCAGAACTATAAGCAAATAAATTTGTGTAAGCCCTCATCTGTAATATTTTGTCATGACAGCACTAGCAAACTAATACAGCAGATAACAGAAAAGTATAAAACACAATGGAAAATTATCAATTTTTTTAACGAAAAAACTGTTAACCCTAAAAGTAAAAGGTACAATGAAAGAAAATCAGTACAAAAATAAGGGCTTTTGAAATCTTCAAAAAAAATCAAAAGAAACAAGATTTATATTGACATAATAAAGTAGGATCTGATCATTGGTTTAACCAATCTTGTACTGCCACAAAAGGCAGATATTTGTTGGAGAACAGGGAAGAAAAAGAAGAGATAACTTTTTTTCTCTTCTATATTAACAGCTAATGTCTAAAAATCAATCATCAAGAAACAGCAGATTAACCCAGGTGCCAGAGACTCAGGAGTATATTCCTAGCTACTCAGGAGGCTAAGACCTTGGAGGACTGTAGTTCTAAGACAGTACATGCAGAGAAGTCTGAGACTCCATCTTCAATTGACCAGCAAAATACCAGACTGGAAACAGCTCAAGAGGTAGAGTCACAAGCCCTGTGTTAACTGCCCTGGAATAGATATAGATGAAAGGTAGGAAGAGAGAGAGGGAGGGGAAAAAAGGGAAGACATTCACAGAGGTGAATGCAAAATAGGGCCTTAAAAGAGATTAAACTGTCCTATATAACCAAGAATTTGACTGTGCTTTGACTTCTGGGTGGGAAAATTAAAATTCTTGGAGTTTTCCTACATATCTTCAAGCCCATAAAACCACATGAGTTTAGAACAACATGATGGACTTTTGTCTTACTATGCCAGAACAGACATGCGATTTGAAAACCAGGGCTTTGACCCTAGAGACAACAACCCAATCTTTTCTAGAAAAGGCTCTGAAGACATGGCCAACAACGTAATCATGACCACACAGCCTACAATTACTTTTACAGCTATCATCTTGATTTTTCTAGCCTTGGATACTGAAAAAGTCTTCGAATAGGTTACTGCAGTACTTGTACCCCTCAACCCTTGGCAAATGTCAGTTGGTTCTCCAATAAGGAACACCTAAAATCATTCATCCCTGCTTTAAAGAAAAAAATACTATGACACTCACTCCCTAGTGGTCTCCAATGCCCACTAAAAGCTTACCTTTAAATTCAAACATAGCATAGCTCAAGCAGTGGAGCATTTGCCTAGCAAGGCCCTCATTTCTGTCAGAACTAAACTCTTTTAGCACTTTTCTTATTTTATCCACGTAAGTCCACTTACCTCTTTTACACTATCAAGTACATTTATATATGATTTCACTTACCTTCTTTCCACTAAATAGAAACTGTTAATATTTTCCCAACCTTTGGGGCCAATCTTAAGTGTTACCTTCTCAAAATGTAACAAATGGATATGGTAATTATTTTAAGTTAAAATCATTTGCAGTTCTGTAAATTTAGAAAGGGTCATTCAGCATGAATTTCCCTACATGCAATAATCCATAAAAATTATTTTTGGAGGTATATCATTCCTACATCAAGGCCAAAAAATAGCCACAATCACCAGTTACTGCTAATTTTGGCTGCCATAAACCTAAATAGGCACTTGAAAGTAACACTTATCTTCCATTAGATTCTCTCCTTGTGCTCCATATATCTCTTAGTAACATCCCTAAATGTTATAATCCTAGTCTATATAGCTATTTGTCTTGTTATGCCTTCATAGATTTATTGTTCCTTGTCAAAAAAGCAGGTATCAACCAGTGGTCATTTCTTTGGCCTTCGTTCCACATGTACATGTAAAACTGGATAAAACATGTGCTTTTGTTAGTACACTCCTATATTCACTTAGTTAATATAGACAAGAAGCCCATTTAAGAACTAAACAGGGATAAAGTAGATCTCTCCTTTGTCTACAATATAGAGACTGATTAGACAGATTGGAAGGACACTAAGAGAAGCAATAATGGCCATGAATTCTAATGACCATTATGCAATAAAAAGAAAGCCTTTGGAAAAGGCTGTCTCCAAGGTAAAAGTAGGGTATACACAAAATAAGTCTGAAACATTTAGCTGCATATTCATAAATATATAGAATTCACTACTGCAGTGTCCCTTAATATAAAATGTCCACTAATACATAGAGAAATACTAATAAAAATTATCAGTTTGTGCTAAAACTAGTAAGTGTATGATTTAAAACAAAAGATAGTCACATAATCTCAGAATATCTCCCTATAAATTAACATCAAAGGGGAAATAATTGTTTTGAAAAGGAAGGGCTTAACATATATCACCATTAACAAATGATTAAAATTAAAATCTGCAATTTTGAAATAGATATCATTTGTTTCTTGATATGATTCAGTGAAAGGGACCTAACATCACTTCTGATAAATTCCTACCCAAATTAGCCAAAATCTAACAAAAATCATTCTCATTCTTTGTGACAGACATTCTATTAAGGTCAAGAAAAAAATATAAATGAACCAAGCACTTTTAAAAGGCTGAAGCACTGATGTTAAAGAACATTACAACTAAGCATAATATATGATTCTGAATAAATTCTAAGACAGGAAAACTTTTCTCTAATAAAATATTTGGAATAACCTTTGTCTTCTTTGACCTTTTAATTAAACAGTATGGACCTTAGTCTTTGAATTCAATAGTATGGTATCATTGTCAAATTTTCCTAGTAACTATACAGTAGCATTATGGACACTGTTCTTTTTTTTTTT